TGAAGTCATAGGATACTGGCCCCAGATAGGTGAGGTGCATGTCAAAGGAATGATTTCAGTGAGCCCAGGATCTTCCACCTTCTCATGCATAGAAAAAGCACTAAATCCCTTAACTTGAGCTACCTGGTTTTCTTTATTGTTAATAACCTTTTGACTTCAGACTACCTGCCCTTTGTTGCAAAATTTCTATATATCCTGACTCCCCACCCCCACCCCTCACCTTCTCCAAACAGCTCTCTCAGGATTACTTGAGATGCTGCCTCCTAAAAATTGACATCAAATGAAACGTAACTCTTTTTTTTTTGAGCTGTTCTTCCCTTTATTTATTTATTTTTCCATTTATTTTTATTAGTTGGAGGCTAATTACCTTACAATATTGTAGTGGGTTTTGTCATACATTGACATGAATCAGCGATGGATTTACATGTATTCCCCATCCCGATCCCCCCTCCCACCTCCCTCTCTACCCGATCCCTCTGGGCCTTCCCAGTGCACCAGGCCCGAGCACTTGTCTCATGCATCCAATCTGAGCTGGTGATCTGTGAAACATAACTCTTAACATTAAGGTTGTGAAATGTGTTTTTAGTTGACAACTTTAGGGCATAGAAGAGGGGAAGACCATAAGGATTCTGCAAAGCACGTGGATTTGAAAACTGATAATGTACCTATACCTTGTGACCTTGAATAAGGCTAGTCAGATGAGAACCTCTACCTTACACCTGACATCTTACTACTTACTGTAAACTTAAAAGATTTTATCCCCGTCAACTTTCTGATGCTTGAAATTGCTTGATTAGGGCTTGTCTTTTACTCCACACTGACAAATAAAACTTACATACTAGTGTCTGCCCTGAAGACCATTTGAATCCCTAGGAATTGTGGTTAAAATTCGCACTGATCAGGCTGTTAAGGTCTTTTTCAAGCATAGCATAACAAGCTGAGGGTAGGGAAGGCACTGGAAACCAGACGAAGAAATGAGAGAGGCCCCGTGCATAGAAAGGCTAAGGATGGGGAGCGGTGGAAATCTGAAAACTAGCAGACAGTTGGGCTCAAGACCAGCCTATCTGCCTGGACAAATGTTCAAAACAGCCTGTGTCTGCTTATCTTTTACTAACTTTAGGGGTATTCCCAGAATTAAGGCACTAATGGGCCAGAGAGTTTCCTTTTTATTAATGAAGTTCATTCACCACAACCAGGCTCAGTCAAATTCCATCACAGGCATCTGGAAAAGGCAAAGAAACCCTTTCTTGAGTTACAGTTCTTTTTCTGTTTTTTTTTTTTTTAAATTAAGGTAAAATTGACCTATAATATTAAATTGATTTTAGGTGTACAGCATAATGATTTTATAAACATGTATCTATTGCAGAATGATGGTTGCAATAAGCTAGTTAACATCCATCACCATACAGAGTTAACATTTTTTTCTTGTGATAAGAACTTTTAAGACCTACTCCTTTAGCAACTTTCAAATATACAATATAGTATTGTTAACTATAGTCACCATGCTGTAACTTACAGCCCCAGAATTATTTTATAACTGAAAGTTTGTATCTTTTAACTCCCTTCATTCATTTTGCCCCCCTACCCCCATTTCACTGTCTCACAACACTCTTCTTGACTCCTTCGGAACACCTGGCCATTTCTCCAATCTAGTCTGCCCTCTGTTCATTCATTCTATAAACATTCAAGGCCAACTACCTTCTGGGCACTGTGGTAGGCGCTGGGGATACAAAGAGCCTGCTCTAATGAAGCTCACAGTCTGTTGGGTAAACCGACATTGTCATCTGTAGGACAAGTATTAGGTAGAGGTGAGCACAGAGGCTGAGGCGAGGAGAAGATGCTATCCAAGGCAACCTGGGAGTGTCAGGGATGGCATCATGGGAGGCGAGGCCAGAGCCCAGTTCTGAAAGGCACACAAGAGTTGGTCAGGTGAAGAGAGGGGAGGCAGGAATGGGATTAGCAGTGATTAGGGACTGTGGGCTGGTGCACTGGCCTGGAATCCAGGATGCAGCGAGAGTATCCCTGATGCGGTTGAGGTCCCAGCCTGCCCAGTGGATCTTTCTTCTCTGAACACAGACACCATCTGCCCTTCACTGCCTCTCTTACATCTTGAGATATTCTTTCTAGTGGTCTAGACCACCCAAGAAGGGTTAATACCCCACTAACGTTTCTTTTGGGCTTCCCTGGTGGGTCAGTGGTAAAGAATGTGCCTGCCAATGCAGGAGACACAGGTTCCATCCCTGGGTTGGGAAGATCCCCTGGAGAAGGAAACTGCAACTGTTAGGTAGTTAGAATAGGGAAAAAGAGTCCAAAATGGCGGTGGTAAAAGACCTGGAAGGGAAAGCCCACGAAAATAGAACAAAGGAAGGTCCGAGGACTGGAGTGAGAACCTCAGGTAAAACAAACAACGCTGCTGCCTAAGCCCAAGTTACATAAGACAGGCCCAGGGAAAGAGAAACATATAACAAGAGGAGCCAAAGCCCGCTTCTCTCTCTTTTTTTCACTCTCTCTCGCTCTCTCCCCCACACGATGGGGTGATCTTTTCTTTGCGTCTTTGGATCAACGTGCCCTCATGCCTCAAAGATGGATTTTCCTACTATTATCTAAATAAATAGAGCTGTAACACTGAGCTCTAACACTGATTTATTTAAGAGCTATAACACGGCCCGTTTGAGACCTGAGAGCTGTAACGCGGTCTGTCCTCCGAGAGCTGTGACCCGCCAAGGGGCTTCAATGTCCGTCACTCCAAATTTTTGTTGTGACGAGACAAAGAACCGAGGAGCATACACTCGCGTGACACAACCCACTCCAGTATTCTTCCTGGGAAAACCCCATGGACAGAGGAGCCTGGTGGGCTATAGTCTATGGGGGTCACGAAGAGTTGGACAGGACTTAGCAACTAAGTTGACTTCGGCAACAACATTTCTTTATCCTCACCCGCGCGGTCCCCAGGCTCTCCCTGTCCCTGCTGAGGGCCAAACCGCCTTAAGTGTCTTCAGCTCTGCTTCTCTTCTGCCAAAAGACCGACCAGGCTTCCAGGCTTGGCTCGGTGCCCTCCTGGTGCTCACTCGGCCCCCATGTTCCCTGCAGCGGGTCACGTTATACAGTGATAGTTATCTTTCTCTTCCTTTGCCAACTCAGCCTCCCAGCAAGTTATAATGTGGCTAAAACTTCCCCTAATGTAGTTTATCCACTTCTTAATCCAGGCATCTGACACTCATTGAATCTGCTAGGAAGTCAAGTGCACTCACCCAGCCAAGAATGGTCTTTGTGTGAGAGCCACTGGATGCAGTTATCTGTGGATGATAAAATATCGGCCTTGAACATCTGGTTTGACCTATAGCCATGCAAGTGCCATCGCTACATCTAGCCACAAAGAAAAAAATGTAGAGACCACAGCCAATGGCTTAATTATCTCCTACTAGAAATTAAAATCATCTTGGAGATTAAGGGACAAATTAGCCCATGACAGTCTTTCTTACAGTTTTATTTTAATTTTTCTTTTGGCTTCATGGCCTGGCTCTAGGACCTTAGTTTCCCCCTGGAGATCCAACTAGGGCCCACAGCAGTGAAAGGGCGGCCTTTAACCACTGGACTGCCAGGGAAGTCCCTCCTTCTTACACTTACATGTCCAAACATAATGGAACTGTGGCATGGATACAGGAACAAAAAATAATCTATCAAATCTCTGTTAGTTTCTTTCCTTATTTCTCTAAAGTGGTGTGTGTGTGTGTGTGTGTGTGTGTGTGTGTGTGTGTGTGTGTGGAGGGGATAGGCGAATGTCCTGCCTAGTTAACAGGAGTTGTTCGAAGCGTGAAAAATACTTGGCAGGATCCTACAACTGTAGGACAAGTATTTTTAAATCTCTATTCCTTGATCACTCAAACACACCATGTCATGAGTTTTATGCTATTTTGGTACAGTTAGGTAGCTAGAATAGGAAAAAGGAGTCCAGAATGGCGGTGGCTAGAAGACAAGGAAGGGGAAAGCCCACGAAAATAAAACAAAGGAAGGTCTGAGGACCAGAATGAGGACCTCAGGTAAAACAAACAGCACTCCTGGCTAGCCTAATTTACATAGGGCAGGCCGGGGGTGGGGGCGGGGAGGAGGAGAAAAAACGTATAAAAAGAGGAGCCAAAATTGGGCTGGGGGCCTCTCTTCCCGTCTTTTGAGTCAGCAAACCCTCACAGCTTGAGGATGTCTTTTCCTTTACTATCTAAATAAAACTCAGCTGTAACACAGAACTGAAACACTAGTCCAACCCAGGGCTGTGACACTCTGTCCAAGGGCCGTAACGCTGGTCTGTCTGTGGCTTCAAATTTTTGTTGTGAGGAGACAGAACCCGAGGAAATTACACACCCCCCCAAACAGGGCAATACTTTGCTTTTCTTATTTGTAAAATAATTGAGTGGGCACTGTCTAGACAAGGCCTGGGAAGATTTTAATGCTAGACCTGTGCTATGTAGTTGATCCCAGAGATTCTTTTCCTAGAATTTTCTTATGAGCCCTTTAACTATTATAGCTTTTCTTAGTCCCTTTAAAAACTAGTTCTTTGGTAAGAAATTTCCCAGGCTCCCCACCCTCCCACCCCACAATCGTCCACGCTCTAGAAGCCTTTGAGGACTAGAAGTGGGGACAAAGGGAAACACAAGTCAGGATTTGCAACTCGGTTTAAAAATAAAAGTCGGGGCAGGGGTCTCTGGCCATATTCTGCTCTGTTTAGCCCTCGGCGCGGCCAGCCCTGGTTTGCCTTCTCCCTCTGATTGGTTGAACCGACAGAGGTTGTACGCGACCAGAAGGTCTCTCTTATCTCTGCCTCCGCTTTCCCTGCCCGCTCCTACCCGGCACCCGGGCTCTCCTCCCACGGGACCCGCCCTTCTGGGGACGCTGGATCTTTTTTTTATCTCCCCGGCGCGCCCCTGCAGGCGGCGATAGGAGCCGGGACTACAGATCCCGGCATCCCCCGCTTCCCGCCCGCCGCCGCCGCCGCCGGGGACCGACCCGGTAGTATCTCTTCTCCAGCAAAGGTTCCCAGTACCGGCGCCACTTGCCACCTGGGATCTCGGGGGACTCAGGGGCCGGCGTGCGGGAGGCGGGCACTGCTCGGGGTGACAGCGCGAGAGCATGGCAGCGCATCTGCGCTGGCTGAGCGCGGGTCCCTGCTGGCGCGCGGTGCGGGGCGCTTGCGGGGAGCTGCGCGCCTGCGGGGAGCTGCGCGCTTGGTCTCCGCGCTGCGCAGCCGGACGCCTGTGCCGCCCCCTTGGAACCGCTTGCCGCGAGCAGAGCCGCGGCCTGGGGTACGGCCCCCGGGTGGGAAGCGGCTCCCGGCTGAGGACTCGGCTAGCTGCGGGGCTGGCGGGGCTGGTGGGACTGGCCGCCGCCGCCTTCGGGCACGTGGAGCGGGCGGAGATGGTGCGCAAGAGCTCCGGGGCGCAGAGCGCTTCGCCCGGCAGGCCCGAGGAGGAGGAGAACGATGAGCTGGCCCGCCGCTGCCGCTGCTTCATGGCCCCGCCGGTGACCGACCTGCGCGAGCTGCGGAGGCGGCCGGACGACATGAAAAGCAAGATGGAGCTCCTGATACTGGAGACCCAGGCCCAGGTGTGCCAGGCGCTAGCACAGGTGGACGGGGGCGCTCGCTTCTCTGTGGACCGGTGGGAGAGGAAGGAAGGTGAGGAGGTCGGCCCCTAGCGGGAGGTGGAGATGGGGAAGAGAGGTCGGGCTTTAGTTTGCGGGGAGAAAATGACTCAGAATAAGGAATGGGAGCAGGGAAGGGGTACCTACATAGCGGCTGCCAGGTTAAAAGGTTCACCTTTGAAACGGTTGACGCTGACAGGGCCATCAGCCCTCAGCTTGCAAGTGTGGACCCAGACCTGCTGTCACTCTAGCCCTGGACCTTTCAAAACTCTTTTGCAATTTTATACAGCACTCTTCAAAGAAGTCTTAAGGCCAGTTTTAACCCACAGGCAAGGATGCCCAAGGTTCTAATTGAGCATAGATTTGTCTCTACATTTCACCTCTTCCTCCGGGTTCTTTTACCCATTTTCCTTCTCTGGAGATGGAAAAAGAAAGTGTGTTCCTTACTGTCAGCTAGACTCCTCCCGCTGAGGGTGTTGTGCCATTGTGTCTCCCCAGGTTTCGCAAGAAATGGCTTGTAGTTCAGCCAAGTGCACCCATCATATTTCCTGCTAGAAGAATCTTTACTTCCGTTGGCAAAATACTTGAGTATTAAAACCCAGTTCTTATGGAGTCGTATATTCATGTTATTACCTATACAGTGAAGCCCTGTATCTTGGTCATAAACTTAAAGAATTTTTGATCCTTCTTACCTGGGAATACTACAGCAATTTAACCGCTGGTTTTAGATGGTGATATTGATGCATTGATTTTAAATGAAACTAAATCTGGTTTTCTTAGTGTTTTCCATCTTGTAGCTTTTTTTTTAAGCCTTTTTTTTTTCCCTCCTGGCCTTGCCTCGTGGCTTGTCGGACTTTAGTTCCCTGATGGGGAACTGAACCTTGGCCCTCAGCAGTTACGGCTCAGAGTCCTAACCACTGGACTGCCAGGGAATTCCCTATCTTGTAATGTTTTTAAGTGGAGACTGTTGATTCAGGAGACAACCTGGACTGGTTGTGTGACCTTCCAGAGTTACTTTTTGTGCCTCTGTTTCCTCATCTGTGAAATGAAATTATATACGGGGGTATTGTAAGGATAAAATAACATGAATATATATGAACTGCGGCAGATACTGCTTGATGCTTAGAAGGCACTGAGACGGATTGTTTGGGCCATTTGCTAGTTATGTGTTTCTGGAGACGGTGTTTTCCTTTCTGGGCTTCAGTTTTCTCATTTGAAATATACAAGGGTTGTTGTACTGGATCCCATCCAGCTCTAAAAATTCTTAGAAATAAAACAAGCCAAACGTGAAACTTCAGGAAACAATTCTAGTGTCCTAAAAAACAAACATACCAGCTACTGGGAGTAAAGCTCATACTGACTCTTTGCAACCCCATGGACTGTAGCCCTCCAGACTCCTCTGTCCAAGGAATTCTCCAGGCAAGAATATTGGAGTGGATTGCCATTTCCTTCTCCAGGGGATCTTCCCCACAAAGGGATTGAACCCACTTCTCTTACATTTGCTGCATTGGCAGGTGGGTTCTTTACCACTAGCACCACCTGAGAAGCCTTAAAGGTCATATACCTAAATGCTAATGCGTGTCTCAGTTTAAGCCTCTGAATCCCTTAAGCATTCAAATATCTACTGTTTTTTAATTACCTGTAAGCAAAATTAAAAGGCAAACAGCACACTGAGAGAAAAACAATTGAAACAATATGGAACTCTTAAATTTGGTATAATATATTCTTCAAATATATTCATTCCAGTTTTTAATCTTAGTTTTCTCACATACCATAACAAATAGATGCTGTTCCAAATGGTCTTATTTGAAGGGAAACTATTTCAGTGATTTATTTTAGAGGATGATGTAAGGATGTAGAGGCTTCCCAGGTGTCTCAGTGGTAAAGAATCTACGTGCTAATGCAGGAGATGTGGATTCCAAGCCTGGGTCGGGAAAATCCCCTAGAAAAGGAAATGGCAACTCACTCCAGTATTCTTGCCTGGAAAATCCCATGAACAGAGAAGCCTAGTGGGCTACAGTCCATGGGGTTGCAAAGAGTCAGACAGGACTTAGCAACTAAGCAACAACAAACAATGACAGAAGAAATGGTGATGTGAAGAGTTAAAATATTTGCTTATAGTCAGTAGCAAGTGTCATAGAGCTAAGCTGGTTATCTAATTTTATTATACTTAACAGTTATAAATATATTGATATTATGGAAGATTTGGAAAGTAGAGAAGGAAAATAACTCCTAATCCCACCATCTTCTTGCAGCAGTAGTTTTCAGCTTTGCACATACCCTTACACTCTCTCTTCGTTTTACATTTCTGTTCACAGGAGGTGGTGGCATCAGCTGTGTACTTCAAGATGGGCATGTTTTTGAAAAGGCTGGGGTTAGCATTTCTGTCGTTCATGGAAACCTTTCTGAGGAAGCGGCAAAACAAATGAGAAGCAGAGGAAAACTGCTGAAGGCAAAAGATGGTAAATCAGACAATCTCAGTTCAGTTCAGTTCAGTCGCTGAGTTGTGTCTGACTCCGCGACCCCATGGACCACAGCACGCCAGGCCTCCCTGTCCACCACTGACTCCCGGAGTTTACTCAAACTCATGTCCTTTGAGTCAGTGATGCCATCCAACCATCTCATCCTCTGTCATCCCCTTCTCCTCCTGCCCTCAATNATTTGCACATAGGCACGTGTGCTAAAATGTTAACAGTTGTTTGTTTATTTTTTGACCTTGAGGTATGTGGGATCTTAGTTCCCTGACCAGGGATTGAACTGCAGGCTTTCGGCCATCAGAGCGAGGAGTCCTAAGCTCTGGACCACCTGGGGATTCCTCACAATTATTTTTTAAAAATTATGTTTGAAGAGAGAAATTAAAAAAACAACCTTTGAAAATTGATTCAGAAACCATGTTGGAGTTAATTTGTATCAAGCCAGGTATTCAAGTGCAGTTCTCTGTATTCTTTTCCAGGTAAATTGCCGTTTTCTGCCATGGGCGTGAGCTCTGTCATTCACCCCAAGAATCCTCATACTCCTACTATCCATTTCAACTACAGATACTTTGAGGTGGAAGAAGCTGATGGTAAGCATCTCAAGCTGTGAAAAGTATTATTGTGCAAAATGAGTAGGCATAACATCTAACGTCAAGAAAAAGCAAGTACAGTCTTAATTGTTTCAGGAGGCACGTGAAGGCTTACTCCTTGGTGGGTGCAATGGATTATATACACTAGACATGAAAAGTGAAAGCAGTGTTGACTGGACTCTGATGTCCTCATATTTCTTCCAACACACAAGGAATGGTGTAATGAACCTGAACTAAAAGTGCACATAGGGTTCTTTGCAAATACTAGTTTATTACAAACAAAGGGAAACCTCACGTGCAGTGTTAAGTTGCCATTGAGAACTTGCTTTTGGAAATTAGTTTCCACATGCGTAGCTTTGCTGGTCCTCAGTGCATTATCAGTGACTTTAAGATGGGGTATAGTCCGGCTCTGTGGCGCAATGGATAGCGCATTGGCCTTCTAAGATGGGGTACAGTTGATCATGCCTCATGATGTAAATATAGTTCCAGCCTACGTGTGTGCTATTGGTTGGGCTGACTACTAGCCTGTCCAAGCTCCCGAGCAGTGCATGCCACTGCTCTGCTTGTCTCTGCAGGTGATGGCATTTAAAGCCATGTATCTAACTTTTCCTTTTGAGCAGCATCCACTTGAATCACGTGTCTTGATTTGGTAGGTAACACCCTGTGGTGGTTTGGCGGTGGATGTGACCTTACCCCAACATACTTGAACCAAGAGGATGCAGTCCATTTTCACAGGACTCTCAAGGAGGCATGTGACCAGCATGGTCCAGATCTCTATCCCAAATTTAAAAAGTGGTAGGTAAAGTTATTGAACTTCTCACGATCCCTACATGTTTACCCTTCCTTCTATAGCTTCTGAAGGCACTACTGTGTCACTACATACCTTTCGCAGCTTATGAAGGTTGAACTGTTTTCTTTGCCCAGCAGAAGTGAGATACCAGTTTTACATGCCTTTAACATTAAACCAGATGATTAGTATATAAACTTGAAGGTGATCTATGCCTGAGAATCAGAGGCTTTTTAATCCTAAGGTAGGATACAGTAAGTCCCCTGCAAATAAACAAGTTCCATTCCAAGAGTGCGTTCATAAGTCCAGTTTGTTCATAAGTCCAACAAAGTTAGCCTAGGTACCCAGGTAATACAGTCGGTCATATAGTATTTTACTGGAATAGATTTATAATGCTTTTCACACAAATAATACATAAATAGACAAACACAGGAAATAAAACATTTTTAATCTTGCAGTACAGTACCTTGAAAAGCACAGTGTAGTACCAGCTACAGACTGCCATTTTTATGCTTGCTTCTAAGCATCCTGGGCTTGGAATAAGGATACTGTACATTATGTAGTACCTTACTGTGAAGTGCACAGAAGCACGTGTACTGGCAGAGGATGCACGTGTGTGGCAGTGTACACCAGACATGTGAACTAGCTTAGAAGGTTGGACATGCGCAAATGTAGAGTCTGAAAATTTGCAACTTGAAGGTTCGCATGTAAGGGACTTACTGTGTTAAATTCTCACCCCACATGAGGATTATCATCGTTGTTGCCATAGAAATGTGTTAGCGCATGGGAAGAGTTGGAGAACCATCAGGAGAGGTGCAGATGTACCGGAGATCGGGTACAAGGAGAAAAATGGGATTGGAAACTTTGTGAAAGAAACTCTAATGGTAAAGAAAAGAGTTACCCAGGGTATTTGATAGGTATGAAATGGAATCTCTGCATAAGTTATCTGGAATAAGGATAAAGTACTCATCACTGCTTAGAAATAAAGGCCATTCTAGAAAAAGGAGGAACAGAAAGGGTTTGGGGTGGGTTGTTTTTTGCTTTGTTTTTAGTGCTAACATTTGTTGAATCTTGCTGTTATTTATGTAAGAATGTGGAGTTCAGTTTTAAAATCCTCAGAAAAGATAACACGTTTACATAACCTCTTTTTGATTTGACATTACCACTGAACACTGCACAGTCATGGACACAGAGGTGTGAGAATTGGTTTTTTGTTACATATTAGCTTCCTTCCAGCAGGAGGATGGGGTATTCTCTTTTTTTTTGGTTTCCTTTTATCCCTGTTGTTGGAGAACTTTATCTGAGTCGTATTAAGAAAATATCTTGGATGCAGGCTAGTTAAAAAGTTTTTAGTCTATAAGTTAAATCTCTTAATTTCATAATCCCATGCAGAGAGATGTGGAAATAATATGATTTCATTAAAGCTGGCTTTACAGCCTTGCTCAGGCTGTTCTTTAACTCTGTTAATAAAATGTATGTGTGAAAAAAAGTCAAGAAGTTTCAGTCAAGGGGAATACCAGTGCATCAGTTCTAGGGATTTGTGTCTTCTGCTCCCCCCCCTTTAAAAAAATTTTAAACTATTAAGACTTTTCACAATAACCTTTTCAGTAGTTTTTAGTTTTTGTTTGTACAATTTTTCCTGTTTACAAACCCCCATTATTATCTAGATAATGGAAAGAAGTCAACTATTTCCACGAAGCCAACTGTACCACAGATTTAGCAATTAGGAAGTGACTTAGGAAATCTGCTCTAGTAGGCACAGATGGGGAAGACTCTAGAACAGATTGATAGTCTTGTGTGCCGGCTCACAAGGGCAACCTTTAACATTGAGGACTCTTATCCTCTGAACGTTTCTTTGCACCAGCCCTCCCCTGAGTCACGCATGCTGTAGAGTCATCACGGTTTGTTGCTAAGAGAGACCTTAGAGGTAATTTACTGTACCTTCCTTTGGTGAATAAGAACTGATTCAGACAGCTTAGGGGTTAGCACCTGGTCATGGGCTTGGTTGGCGCCATTGTTGGTGGAGGGTTCCTGCCTCCTGCGAAAGAAGCAATGCTTCCGAGGGCAGCAGCAGCATCACTTGTTTTAAGAAATACGAGTATTAAGAGTGGACTCTTTGTTTTTCTTTTCAGTAACAGTCTTACAATGCCACGTTAGATAGACATGTATTCACTTGCCTAGTTGATTGGCAGGTGAAAGTGTAAGCATTTTCTACATTGGTAATAACTGCAGGAAATCTGTCTAAAACTCTAGTTTCATTTCAGATGTGGACAAAAAGAAAGGGCACTGTGCTGGCATTAGTCAGGGAGGGTGCTGTAAGCTGAAATGCTCACATTGATTTTCACGTCCGTCTCTCTTTCCTTCTGTGGCCTTGCTGTTTTTTTCAGGTGTGACGATTACTTTTTTATAGCCCACCGTGGGGAGCGGAGGGGTATCGGGGGTATCTTTTTTGATGACCTCGACTCTCCGTCCAAGGAGGAGGTGTTTCGCTTTGTGGAGAGCTGTACTCAGGCCATCATTCCTTCTTATGTCCCCCTCGTGAAGAAGCACTGTAATGACGCCTTCACTCCCCAGGAGAAGCTGTGGCAGCAGCTCCGAAGAGGACGGTGAGTGGGCGACGGGAGCATGGACGCTCTCATGTCAGAAGAGATGGGACTGGGAGGGTGGGGTGGAGCAACTGCAATAATAGCGGGTGCTGGTCATCTTGGGCAGTGCTTTGTCAGAGCTGTGTTAATGTTCACCCTGATTTCTTTTCATCACTAGATAAATAACAAAGTGAATTAGAAAAACACTGTGAAATAGTATTATAAAAAGAGCAAAGTCTGTTTAATCTGTCTGTGCTTTAGAGACTCATACTAGGCTTATGGTAAGTACTTGTTGAATTTAATTCAGCTGATTTCTTTTAGTCTGTCTTCGAGCAATACCTTCCAACCTTCTGCCAAGGTAGGAGAATCATTTAATGTTTTTGCTGCTTTGTAAATTCTGAATCATACCTTTTTTTGTTTAACTTCAGGTTTCCATGGAAGTCATTATAATGAAAATGATTGTTTTAGAAATTGTTCGTTACGGAACTGTGATGATATTTGTTTGTTATGGAACTGTTCACATGTGCTGGCCAGTAGGTTAGGCAGTTTGCATCTAATTTTCTTCACAAACCTGTGGAATTGGTATAACTATTTATCGTTTTACAGATGATAAAACTTAGTCTCAGCGAAGTAAGTCCCTTGCCCAAGTTTACACAGCTGGTAAATCAAAGACCCCAGATGGGGAACCAGGTCACTGAGGCTTCCAAACCTGCAGACCTTCTCCGGGGGAGTGGCTAAGCAATTAGTGTTTCCAGCCACGACGCCCGCCGTGTTCCCCCGCCTTGTGCATTGAGTTGATGAGCTCAGTTGGATGACCCGCGGGAGGGCATCTTCAGCCGGGCTGTGATTGTGAATCTGCTGCAGATTAGCACTCTAACAGCTCACAGTGGTTTCTCAGTCCCGTCTTAATTGCATGTGTCCTACTGGTCCATGCCTCCAAAAATGGATTTCCTCATTTATATTAATTCTTTCTTGGGCGTATGAAGCTTTGGGAACTTAAGGAGATAAGGCTAGTGCCCTGAAAACGTTCACCTGGATACTGTCCCAAGTCTAAAGATAAATGTTTGTCATTTGCTCTTGCTTAGAACTGCCTGTGCCTGCCTGCTCCCCGTGTATAAACCTTGGGAAAATGAGAATTGATCGTGTTCTCGTCGGACATTTATTAAACAGGGCATTTTTTTTTTTTAGGTCGGGTGTGTTTTTTGGTCCTATGATTTCCCAGATACACCCTTACTCTTCTTCCGTTTCCTCTTGACATTTATCATATGCCCCCATGGCCAGGGCCCATCTTGGGCAGAGATGTTCACAGTTTAGAGGGGAAGACCATCCCTAGAGGGTAGATTAAAATTCTGGAAAATTTTTTTTAAAAAAAGCAAAACAAAAGTAAAACAACAAAAAAAGAGAAACTAAAAATTAATAAATAAATAAACCGAACTCTGTGGAAAGTGCAGTGTTCTAGTTTTACATGAGATTTCTTAATGCAAAGCCAGCAGGGTTTGTGATTACTCATGAGGTGAAGCCTTTAAAACTTTTTGGACATAGGAACAATGTCTTATTCTGTTTGTTTTATTATTGTTATTAATTGACAACGTACTTTGAGAGTTCCATTTATGTGTATCATCGCATGTCGTGTTTTTTGAATTTGGCAGAAGTGTGGGGTGTTAGGTTAATTTTCTGTGGTGTGGTGGGTGACTGTATTTGCAGAGAGACCCCTTCTGTCCTTACCTCTGGGCCTTAAAATGGCAGTCAACTCTGGGACTTAGGACAACCCCAGCTCTTTTGTGCGGTTATGAGCCCTGACGTCACTTTCTTACATGGCATTCATAGCCCGTTATCTGTATTATTCTTCCCCACTTCCTGTCGCCCCAAACACAACTTTCTCCTGTGGTGATCAGGCTGCTTATCTTTTGACTTTACAGCCTCTTCTTTGGCGATCTCATTTGGTCTCGTGGTACGCTGGTAAAGAACCTGCCTGCCAATGCAGGAGACGCAGGTTGGATCCCTAGGTCGGGAAGATCCCCTGGAGGAGGAAATGGAAGCCCACTCCATTATTCTTGTCTGGGAAGTCCCATGCACAGAGAAGTCTGGCAGGCTGCAGTCCACGGGGGCGCAGAGAGTCAGACACGGCTGAGCACACGTGCTTGGCCTGTGACTTCTGTGGTCTCCCCAGACCGTGAACCTCCAGGCTTGGGAGGTGCTTTTCTAGTTTCTTTTTCAGAGAAACTAAACATCTGTACTTGTTTTGTTGTATTTTGGGACAGGGAAGCAGGATATGATGTAGATACCAGTTACATTGAAGGGAATGGCTGAGGTTCATAGTTTACCGATATCTCGGAGAGGATAATTGTACAGAAAGGATCGGAAAGATCAGGTCTAAGCAAAACCTGGTGAAAGTCAGGCTAATACACAGGAAGGAACATTGTTCACTCATACAGGAAGGCAGAACAAGGATTCGCTCGTGAGCACAAGAGGCTCATTTGGGAGCTCCTTACAAGGGTCTCTGAACAAGACATCAGTACAGATAGAGAATCACAGCCATCCCTTAAGTATCACGTTTCAGAAAGATAACATCAGGGGTGAGAAAGGGAATTGAGAGACTGATGTTTTTTTCCGGGGGCCTAAGAAAAAAGTTAAAAAAATCAACTAAAGTAACCTTTGAAAAAAAACAAAAAAGGAATAAGTAATAAGGCAACAAAACCAAATGGGGAAAAAAGAAGAAAAAGAAAAAAGGGGCCAAGAAAGGAAATTAATTAAAATTTCCCAAAACCCATGGCAAAGTTCCAAAAGGAAAGGGGCCTTCCAAAAAATGAAACAACGGCAAAAAAAAAAAAAAAAGGGGGTTTTCTTTTTTTTTAGTTGTGATTAAATTACAGTAACCAGTGCATTAATGATAATAATATCTGAGGGAAGTTTGGACCAAGAGATTAGTTTTTGAAGAAGTTGAGAAATGATTTGAAGCGGGAACTGTTTATTGAAATTTTCAGCTTTATGAGTCATGTTCAATTCTTTTGGCTAGTAGAAATGATCTTTTTGAAATATCTCCAAGAAGTTGGAGGAAAAAAACCCTTTTATTTATTTATTTTTTTGAAAAGACTCTTTTATAAAGAATCTTTTGATGTTAAAGGAAATCACAGATTTTTAAGCCAGACAGAGTTTAGATGTGACTCTGTGGCAGTTAATGGAAGACTTATACCCTGAACCAGGTTTTAGTTGATGTTAAGGATATTTTTCTAAGAAAATAAAGCTAATCACCGCAACGCAAATCACTGCTACCTTTCATTACGACTTTTGTCATCAATCTGCAGCAAGACAGAATTGTATGACTGCTTATTAATGCTGTAAACCACTTTAAGGAAAGGAAATATCTGGGATATGTTAATAACTATAGATAGAGTTCTGTTAACTGTTCTTGGCTTTTCAGTTACAAGAACTTTACACTGTCTTAGTTCATGTGAGTTATTAGCAGTGGAATGAAGTCTTCGACTCAAACATCTCAGACTCTCGGGGAGGCCCAGAGAGAGCTGCTCTATCCTGATAAAGGGGGCCGTTTGCTCTTCTTAATTGTTTTTGTGGCTTCAAGTTCTTAGCTTTGTGTTGATCCTGTTTATTTATTGGAAAACATAACCTTATTGTTCTGTAGCTGCTCTGTGCTGGGGCTGAATCTATATCCTCTTGTTTGCTGGATAGAATACCCTTTTCTTTACGCCTGTCCGGATGGAGAAAAGTCAGCTGATGAGATTGGTGTTTCCTGTGCCAGTTACAGCTGATGGGTTGGGGGGGGTGGTGGTGGGAAGTTGCCCACCAACCCCCACACTGCCCCCCCCAACCCATCTCCCCCCATGAAGTACTTATTATGGACTAATTGTAAGACTTTACTCACCAGCTCTTAATCTTATTTGATGTCTTCATCTCAGGTATGTAGAATTTAACCTGCTCTATGATCGGGGTACAAAGTTTGGCCTCTTCACTCCGGGATCCAGGATCGAAAGCATCTTGATGTCTTTACCTCTCACTGCCCGGTAAGAATAACTCATGAGAATGATAGTTATTCCCCACCCCACCCCCAGTCCTCTGACCCCTACAGAGCCTGAACATTGATACCACAAAGAGCTTTCCTAAAGACTTCATTGGTTTTGACTTTGCTGTCTTTATAAGAAAATCACAGGCCGAAAAGGAATAGGCAACAGACGGCAATATGTCTGTGACCCCAAGAGCCCAAGATACTTATTTTTCAACCCTTTACAGGGAAAGTTTGCTAAGTCGTGTCCAACTCCTTGCAACCCCATAGACTGTAGCCTGCCAGGCTCCTCTGTCCATGGGATTTCCCAGGCAAGGGTACTAGGGTAGGTTGCCATTTCCTTCTTCAGGGGATCTTCCTGATCCAGGGATTGAACCCGTGTCTTCTACCATCAGTGAAGCCCAAAGTTTGCCAGCCCCCGGTCTAAACCAGGTTTACCGGACTTCATACTACAGTTTAGCCATTTTCACCATTGTTTATATATTTGTATATAATCTGACATATTATTTGCTTAAATTTTATACTCATTTTTTTCAGAGAGAAAATTAAAGGCAAACCAACATTTTTGTCAAAAATAGAAATGAACACATTAAAATAAAAGCAAAAGTACTAAGCTGAAAAAAAAAAGTTTGCCCATGGATCACCTGAGGTTCTATACTTTACAAAACCCTCGATTGTAGTAAAAGTGTGTTTTGGCTCTGGAATATTCATATTAGCTAAACTATGCTCCAGGAATTATTAAGAAACTTTATTTCTTTAGCAGCAAATATTTTTTGAAAGCTTAGTGGAGACAAAGGGTGATAGGACTTTTTATTACCCATAGAATTTAGTTTAGATAAAGAGGTGTGTATGTTGTTTGTTTATTTTTTATTGTTACTACATGTTTTTGCTTCTGTTTTAAACCTCCATAGATGGGAGTACATGCATTCACCCTCAGAGAACTCCAAAGAAGCTGAAATTCTGGAAGTTTTGCGCCACCCAAGGGACTGGGTACCTTGATGCAGACAGAGCAGCCTTCCTGGGGCCTGGGGGACTCTCAGCGCCCCTCCTGTTCCACTGGCCGACACCACCCCCATGGCGTGGCTCTTGGTCACCTGTGTCTTAGAGCTCCGGTCTTCTTTCTCTACCCTGGAGTCTGCCTCCTTGACAGGTGGTGAAATGTGTTTTAAGCACCGGAAGCTTCCGCCAGATGCTGTTGGTGATGGGTGGTGAGGTGGCAGCTTGTCAGCTGGTTGATGTAAAAACTCATTTGTACTTTAGAATCATTTTATATGACAAGTTTACAAACAACGATGTTGTATTTCCGAGAATTGATTAAGGGGATCTAACTCATAATTTGTTTCAGGAAACCTTTTATGTTACTTTTACTTCATGTATTTTTTAAAGATTTAGTTTCTGCCACAGAAATCTGTTTTGGGATAAGTTTTATTTTCGTTAATTCAATAAGATTTAGAATGGTAATTTTAGAAAGCTGCTGGAAATGAAGGTAAAAATTTTACTTTGTCATTGCTGAAGTTTCTTAGATCATAATCTTTATATCTTTAGAGACCATAATTTGGTAAAATACTCATTTTTGTAATGATAGATACTTAGAAACACTGGAAATTTTCTTAATCTCTGCATGTGTTACAATTCAGTGATTACATACAGTTAACTGTAAAGTGACATCACTGTTATTTAAACAAGAGATAGCTAAGTGACAGTTTTGATTTTTGTCAATGTTGAAAGTCTATGCACTTTTCAGCGTGAAAGCTTATATCCTTGAATTCTGATATTTGCACACTTCTATTCCAGACACTTCTATACAGAGGTTTAGACTAAGAACAATCTGGGGGATGTTGTGAATTTAGGGAATGTTTCTCATTTAGGAAGTGAGAAACATTTTCCTTCTCTAATTAGAGCAGGCTTAGCTAATGTAAGAAGCATGTAGGCATTTTATAAACATATTTCTTAGAAGATGGACTAGTTGAAATCACCCTTTTTAAATTAGATTCTGCAAGTCTTACCTTTGCTCCTAGGAGAAAATCACAACAGAGTTGCTGAGACTTCTTTGTTCAAATAATATGAATGTATTTTATTCATAATATATTGTAGTTTATAAGGAATGGTATCTTCCTACACATTATTAAGCATTATTTTGGAATATGTTGAATGTATGGTTGTGTGTGACTCTTCAGAGCTTGAAGATGTATGACTTCTTCAGTTCTCTTCCCACAAGTATGCTGATAAATTTTGTTATGAAGTATAACTAAGGAAGGTTTCTATTTTTCATTTTTTCTAGGATAGTTGATTTAGGAAAGATGAATATTTCTTGGTACTAAAACCATAATTCCTCATTCCTGAATATTTTTAGCCAAGAAAAATGTAAGTTTTGTACTTGAGTTTTCATAGCAGCTTTATTCTCAATAGCCATTTGGAAATAACACAAATGCCCATCAGCAGGTAAGTGGATAACCAGGTTGTAAGATACCCTTATGTTAAAATACGACTCCACAATGACAGGAAACGTCTGCTGATAAATGCAGCAACATGGGTGAATATCAGAAAATGGCTATGCTAAGTAAAAGAAACCAGACACAAGAGAACACACTCACTGTATGACTGCATTACATGAAAACCTAGAAAAGTCAAAACTCTTAACAAGAGAAGGCATATCAGTGATTGCCAGGGGCTGGGTAGGGGAACTCACTGTGAAAGGGAACAAAAGAATGTTTTGAAGTGATGCAGGTATTCTGTGCATTGGTGTATTGACTGTGGCACTGATACCAGACTGTATACATTTATCGGAGCTCATTGAGCTTGACACTTAAAATCATGGAATTTTATTTTGCTTATGACTTATAATTCAATAAAGTCGGACAAATGAAAAAAATATATTATTAGGCATATAGGAGCAAATGTTCAATATACTTCAGTTTGCCTTTTACAATAAAAAGGCACTACCATATAGATATGCCAACCTTGTGTTTGGGGTTATTAGAGTCTGGGCATTGGACTAAGATAAATTTCATAAATTTTTGGTACATGTCAGTTTTTTATACTCTTCAGTAATCATGTCTTTCTCTTATAGATGAGACGATAGGGGAAAAAATAGCAGAATTACATAACTATTGGAAAATCATTCTGCTGTTCTTCAGAGTGAATTTTTGTTTCAAATGTGTATTGATAGAGCCTGCTAGAGGCCCAGGGTACACCTCTAAACGCCTTGGACACCTAACTGCTGCTGTCTTACACATTATATTGATGGTCATAAAGGGTGGAAATTTGGGGGAGGGATATAAATGCTTTGGAGCAAATTTCTAACCTCTGCTTCATGACTGTACTCTGTTCAACTGAGTAACTAATGAGATAAACACTTCTGCATGCTAAAGAGTATCAGATTAGAAGACCAAGTAGTCCTTTTTTTTTTTTTTTTAATGCTTTATCCTTCCACGAGTCATTTGATGTTAGAATTCATCAAGGCTGGAATCGTGTTCGGGTATGTTTTACTCACGTCTGTGCCTGGTTAGGACGACTCAAAGGTTAGGCTCATCTCCGATGATGAAGCTAGTGTCTGCAGGTGGCTCAGAACACTCATTCCACCCAGCAAGCCAGAGGCAGTGCCTTCTGATCTCGCCCCAGAGGTGCAGTGTCACTTCTTCACCTTTTAGTTACAAGTGAGTCAGTAAGAATGGCTCCTGACCCACAGGGGCAGGAATTGTACCCCAGCTCTCAGTGGGAGGTGTGTCAAGGATCTGTGATCATCTTTAAGACCGCCACAGCCTTTCAGTCTCAAAACCACGGAATAGATTTGGCACCCCTCCCTCAATGCCCTAGTCAAATCCTGTTGCGTCCTCCTCGGAAATGTTTCTTTTCCCCACCTCCGTCCACAGCTATCACTGTTTTGGTCCCACGTTCCCTCTGACCTGAATGTTTGCAATCCATTGCCTGCCCTTGGTCACTCCGACCTCCATCCTCTCCCTGTAATACTTCACTGAACCCCATAATTATGCCCTCCTCATATACTGAGCAGCCGCCCTTCTCCTACAGAGAAGTTTCTAAACTCAATCTGATACTGAAAGCCATCCACCATCTTTCCCCAGATCTTTCAGTCTCAAAACCACGGAATAGATTTGGCACCCCTCCCTCACTGCCCTAGTCAAATCCTGTTGCGTCCTCCTCGGAAATGTTTCTTTTCCCCACCTCCGTCCACAGCTATCACTGCTTTGGTCCCACGTTCCCTCTGACCTGAATGTTTGCCATCCATTGCCTGCCCTTGGTCACTCCGACCTCCATCCTCTCCCTGTAGTACTTCACTGAACCCCATAATTATGCCCTCCTCATATACTGAGAAGCCTCCCTTCTCCTACAGAGAAGTTTCTAAACTCAATCTGATACTGAAAGCCATCCACCATCTTTCCCCAGATCTCTCAGCCTTACCTTCTGTTTCCAACCTCCCCTGCATGGCATTCTCAGACTCATGTCACCACCCCACATTTCTCTGAGCATTCCAGAAGTTTCTGCCATCCGACCTGTGCTCAGGCTGCTGCTATCTCTACCTGGAGTCTGTCTCCTTAGCACAGTTGACTCATCACAGTCTGGATTCATCCAGTCACCCAGTGTACACTGTACTTATTTCAAAATATTTAAGATGAGTATCCATGGGGGTCACACAGCATAGCATCCTCATTTATAACATCTACCTTTTGAATCACCTGTTAACCTTTTCATTCCAGCCTTGTTTTGCAACACTATACTGTGGTATTGATAGCTTACGGTGAATGAGGTCAGATTCATGATCTCTGAAGAAGATTTAGCTTTGGGGCTAGGGACCAGGCTTGATCACTCAAGAGCTTTTGTGTAGCAGTTTTATTAAAGTGTAAAGATGGACAGAGCGAGCTTCTGACATAGATGTCAGAAGGGGAACAGAGAACGCCCCACTCTCTAGTCTTAGTGAGGCCTTATACACTTCGATCAGACCCACTCCCACAACATACATCTTAAATTAACAAGCTCAGAGCTAACCACAGAAAGGTCTCACCAGGCGGCTCCCACAGTATACAAGTTTTAAGAACGAGATTAGTCAGAAGGTTCTTGTTAAGGAGAAGCATCCTTGAGCAAGATACATTGTTACATTGACTAAGACAAAGCAATGGAGAAAAAAAAATGTCCTTTTCTCCTCCTTGAGAGCCTCAGACCCCTCTCTCCTTGAGACCCTGGACTTCTTAACCTACATAAGAATTGACTCAGTGTCAAGGTTTATGTTTGGCTTTCTTTATAACTGTCTCATTCCTGGTCTGTGAAGACAGAAGTTCCCAGTATACATCTTTTAAGAACCCATTTAGAAATGGTTTTCAAGTGTGCTTGTATTGTTCCTGTCAAATATTTGCTATGTATTCTAAACCCCACATTTATAGAAAGCTGCTGCTTTCCAAAGAAACACATATAAATTCCACTTTCATAATAAACTTAAATTAGCATATTCAAGTTAGTGATGCTTAGACATTTACAATATGGCTTGACTGATTATCTTTGTGTTATTACCTGAAACTGGCATGGGTCACACAGTCTAAACCTCTCAGACCTGTTTTTGTAGGTGGTTCCTCTCTACACACACCCCAGCATCCACTGGCCGAGCAAGGTGATTAAACTGTTTCCATCTTCCAATCAGTGTGCTTGATTTTGATTCTAGAAGTTAAACTCAATAGTATTTTAAAGTGTCCTTCACTTACTAGTTCCTGTTCACATTTCAAAACATGTTTGAATGTAACACTTGACATACTCTAATCCACCATAGTTTAAATCAGTTGGCACAAATGCAGTTACTTGGGAATGCAAGTTGACTTTGTGGTCATGTAAGCGTTGCTGCATCGACTCTCGTGAATGTACTTTCTTACGAGATGGTTAGGGAGGTTCCAAACTAAAGTTCACAATTAAGTTGTACTAGTTGAAGTCTCTGTTATTTAACGGTAAGTGAATAATGCATTTTTAAAGTCAAAATCTTCATAGTTGTTTATCTATGCTTGCATGTGTGTGTGCATGCTAAGTCACTTCAGTCGTGTCTGATTCTGTTCGACCTTATGGAGTGTAGTCTGCCAGGCTCCTCTGTCCACCAGCAAGAATACTAGAGTGGTTTGCCATGCCCTCCTCTAGGGGATTGTCCTGACCCAGGGATTGAACCCATGTCTCTTACGTCTCCTGCATTGGCAGGTGGATTCTTTTGCACTAGCCCCACCTGGGAAGCTCTTATCTTATGCTTATGTATGATAAAATGTGCTTCTATTTTTTGATTTGATGAGGCAGCCTGAGGCTTTTAGAATACTCCTTACCTGCTGCTTGACATCTTTCTAACCATGAGTATAGTATGCAAAATTTCAACCCAATTTATCTATTTCTTGTAGTTCAAGTTGTAGTTTAACTATGAAAAATAATTTGGTAGATATTCTCAACATTTAAAATAATATTGTCAACTGAAAAAGTACACAACTAAAAGTTGAGAGTCATGTTTTACTTGGTGACCTTACTGAACACTATAGCCTAGGATAGCAACCTCTCAGATAGCTCTGAGAAAAAATTCCAAAGAGGAAAGGAAGCAACCAGGATATCGGGGAGTTTTTGCTGGGGAAATAAGGTAGTCAAACATGCATAGATTACAGTAATCACAAAAAAATCCCAGGTATCTTAAGGTAGTGATTCTAGTGCTTTCTCTATATGAGGAGATGCAAGAGTCTGGGCTCACTGAAATTATTCCTTTGACATACATCTTAACTAAGGCCAGTATTTGGTTCTTTCCCATCCTGAATTCCCTTCAGGGTGCACTGTTGGGGGTGGCTGCAGGGGCTGATAGCTTTATGGCCAAAACAGTTCTTTGTTCACAGAAGTGTAGGTTACATTGTCCATAGTATGACTACAAATTAACTTACTAACTTATGCTGAGTAGCTTTTAATTCTTTAATGTGTACTTGATCTTACGCTATTAAACAAGAGGATGGCTTTAAAATAATGTGAATATATCTCAAGGAAACAACTCACACTTTTTTTTCATCTTCACCTCCCTCTTGTTTCATGAAGTGAGGAAGATATGGTATTTCTCTTATAATAGCAAAAGGTGGTCTGCTCAGCTCCACCTAGCTATGTTTTCTGTGCTCCCTCGGACAGAATCTCTGATTCTCAGAATCTGTGAGCAGCAGAGCATGGTTGCTGCTTTATGTTACTAGATTTGAGGTGGCTTCTTAAACAGCAGTGGATAGTTAGGAGAAGTTGTGTGCTAAGTTGTTGAGTTGTGTCTGACTCTTTGCAACCTGATGGACTGTAGCCCACCAGGCTCCTCTGTCCATGGAATTCTCCAAGCAAGAATGCTGTAGTGGGTAGTCATTCTCCAGAGAACAGGTTGGATGTCATTTAAAAAATGAGAAGAGTGAGTTTGATGAGCTTGGCATGCCTGCGAGGCACCTATGCCTGTATTTGGAGATGTGAGTCTAAAGCTCAAGAGAGAGAAGTTAAGTCTAGAAATAGATATTTACCAATTGTTTGTGTGAAGGTCTTAATTGGAAAAATAGGTGAGCCATCTGGAGAAGCAAGTGTAGTGTAATAAGAAAGAGTCAAAGATTGAACTGGGGGCAGAGAAATGAGCAGGGAGAAAGGTGTCAAGAAAGGGCCCTGAGAGTAGCTCCTTGAACAAATGGAATAGGGAAGAAGGGAATCAAAAAGGACAAGTTAGGTGTGATTGTAATTAAGGGTTAAAACATTACTGTGTTTCTACATAGGATATATTAAAATAACACATGCTACAAGAAACATGTTTGATAACTTAGGAATTAAGTTCAGATTTTTAGAAATGATCTTAGTCTATAAATTACCAAGGTTTTCTCAGGTACAAAAATGTGTTAGGTAATAAAATTATTTTCATTGACATATATCGGCTAGTGTCTCTAGTTTCTCAGCATATGTTAGTTGCACAGTCGAGTCCAACTCTTTGTG